CCCTTCTTTACGTGCTCACAGCAGAGCCATTGAATTTACTCATAAAATCGAATCCGAATATCATGGGTATTCCCATCCCTGGATGTGACCACAAGTCACTGCTTTTCAACATGCTGATGATGTGACGTTAACTTTATCAAACTTTGATTCAATTAAAGAAGCCATTGAAACTATTAATGTTTATTGTTCCGCATCAGGTGCAAAAATTAACCGTGATAAGTCGCAGCTATTACTTGCTGGTTCATCAAAGAGTGTTGTGTGTGACAACTGTCCAGTTACCCTTGTGAATGGTTGCATGAAAATACTAGGTGTACACGTGGGTCCGAACAAACTTAATTGTGAAAAGTTGAATTGGGAGTCAAAATGTTCCAAAGTGTCTAAAGTACTAAATATGTGGAAACAAAGAGATCTACGGCTCAAGGGTAAAATTACTATTGTAAATACATTATGTTTGTCCATGCTTTGGTATTTAGTTCGGGTGGTAGAAATTCCATCTTGGGCATTGAAGAGTATCGATAAATCTATTCGGGATTTCATTTGGTTTGGAAAGGTACCGCTTATCAAAATCTCAACCTTATGGGGTAACAAAGAAAAAGGTGGATTAGGTTTGGTATCAATCAAAGAAAAAGAAAAATCCTTTAGACTAGCCTGGTTATCCAATTTTCTTCAATGCTCTGATGATGCTCCATGGAAATTCTACATGACATATTTTTTAAAGTCGTATAAACAATTTTTATGTTCTTTTGAACTTTTATTTATATCTTATTCTTCAAAGGGACTAAGTTCCTTGTCTGACTTTTATGGCTCTATGCTTAGAGCATGGGATGATATGCGTGCTTGTGGTCAATTTTTGCCTACATTGTATAATGATATTTTGAATCAGCCCCTATTTGATAATCCCTACATTATTAAAGATTTGAAATCGCTGTATTTTGAAAATTTTGTAGAAGCTGGAATAATTAAGGTTAATGATATTGTATACTTTTTCAAACCAGGTTTTCTTACCACTGAAGCTGTTCTTGAGTGTTTTGACGATACTTATCAGGATGTGAATATTAATAATATAACTTCCCAATATAAAGTGATTTTGCAATCATTACCAATTACATGGGTTGAATTAATTAAGAGTTCTTGTGATTTCGCTAATTGTGCAATAGACTGTAAATTAGTCATCAATGACCATGACTATAACTTGTGTTTCTTGAAATCAGGTGTCATTTATAAGCTTCTTAGAGATAAGGTGTTTAGAGAACCATCGTGTGTATCTTTCTGGGAAAGCAAAGGTTATGCCATAGAATGGACAAAAGTGTGGTCATCTGTATTTTGTAAACTTAAGAGCAGTGATCAAATTGATAATGATTACAAAATAGTCAACAATATAATATGGACAAACTATAGACTTTTTGTTATTAACATTCTCGATGATCCATCCTGTCGATTGTGTGAGCAAAACCTATCAGAAACCATTGAGCACTTACTAATTCATTGCAAATCTGTGCAACCTTTACTTAGATTTTTGTCTAAATCTCTTCAATACTTTTTACAAAACACTGGATATTCTGTGGATCAGTTCAATTTTTGGCTAATATTTGGTTATCCAGTCACAAAAGATGTCAACAATATTTTCATAGTACTCATGTTCTCTATTGCAAGGCTGTCAATTATAAGACGAAGAGCATTGTATAATAGAAATAATACGAAAATTAGCTTAATACATTTAATAA